CCCCCAAAAAAAAAAAAAAAACCAAAAAAACCAAAAAACAAACAACCCCCAAACCAACCCAAGAACAGCATAGGGCTTTTGATAATGGAGACGCTTGTCTTTTGGACTATTCTCTCTTGCTGAGGAAAACCATACCATCTCAGACAAATTTCATTTCAGTGCTAAAGATGTTCTCATAGTCACGGAGGTAGAAGTTTTTTAAATTGCAGTTAAAAATCAGCTATGAAGCTGTTGAGGTGCAGTAGGAAACCATGGCTTATTTTTTTCTCCTTTTTTAAAACTTTGTTTAGGAAAAGTTTTAGTATGTCTAACACAGAGTATTCAGTCAGAAGTGCTTTACAGAATCCAGTTTATCTGGTCCCTGAACTTGAGGACTTGCAGCAGATCTTTTCAATAGTTTCTAATGCTTCCATGTCTGATGGCAAATTTCACAGCATGTACCTGAATCACTTCAGTTGCCATATTTTTTTAATAAAAATACCACTCTGCTTTTCCAAGCTCTCCAAGTGCTTTTCTTGACGAATCATTGAGTGGGGACAGACTTTTTAGTAGGGCCTGTAGCGATAGGACAAAGGGTAATGGTTTTAAACTAAAAGAGGGTAGATCCAAACTAGACATAAGAAAGAAATTTTTTATGATGGGGGTGGTGAGACACTGGCACAGGTTGCCCGGAGAGGTAGTAGATGCCCCATCCCTGGAAACATTCCGTCAGGTTGGATAGGGCTCTGAGCAACCTCATCTAGTTGAAGATGTCCCTGCTCATTGCATGTGGGAGGTGGGGTTGGACTAGATGACCTTTAAAGGTCCCTTCCAACCCAAACTATTCTATGATTCTATGTGAAAGTTCTTTTAGATCCTAGGATGAAATACACTGAGCATAAGCATGTGAAAATTGCCCGTGTGTTGTTTTTATGACTTCCCAGAGCCACCTGCTTGCCTTCACATTGGTTTTCCTTAAAAATGAAATGCTGCTACTTTAAGATACTTCCAAAGCCATTCATTGAGGTGATCACAACCACACCTGAGCCCAACCAACTCGGTTTTGCGTATTTTGAAAATTTGTAATGCAAAATTGAAGGAGTTTGTTAAAAGTTGAACAGCTCAAATTGTCTTCTAACAGTAGGTAGGATTTGTGATTGAACTTGAGTTTTTTTCTGTAACTAGAATTGTTCTGTTGAATGCAGCTGGAGTGGAAGAAGGTCACTCAAATAGGAAGCCTTCAAAATGACCGACTGGTGGACTTGAGGAATGCTAGTAATAACAGACCAACAACATCTCCTTACCCCCCAAGCTCTCCCATTTCTTCTTGTTCATGTTTTCTGTTCTGACCTGAAACGGAGTGCAGTACTGAGAGGGTAGCTCTTGTTCTTGATTCAGATGCGAAACTTAAAAATTTTCCCAGATGTGGCCTCCTTCAGAACAAAAATGAAGTCTTATGTCTTTCATTAGTAATTAGGTACTTGTCTGACTATGCAGGGTCAGGAGTCCAACTGGGTTCAGAGATGATCCTCTAAGAACTGCTCACAAAATAAGCTTTTCTTCCCTTGGGATGTTACTCCAAATGGTTGTTTGTAGAGGTGTTTGAAATCAGTTATGTTCTACAGAGTCGTCTGACTTGACCTTCTGTAACCCAAATTTCAATAAATTGGCAGCATTGGACTTCCCTGTTCTGTTCCTTGTCAAGCCTGCACTCCTGCATGGAGCTGTCTGGAATGAAAGTTGGAAGTTGTAGGAAGGTCCAAGCCAGTCTTCTTGCACCAAGATGAGTTGTCGCCGAGATTACAGATTTTGATAACACTTCCCTCCCTTCCATATGTCATTTCGTCAGTTGTATGACCAGTAATAGTTGTATTTCAAGTGCTCTGACTGATGGAGATTACTGTTGCCTCTGATGATCCCATCTAGCTCACGCCTAAGTATTTCCAGGTTATGTGCAAGCTCTGATAGACTCCATTTTGCCACAGCTTGCCTCATGTTTTTTAAACTTACGTTGCAAGTAAAATAATCCCAAGCTTTTTTTGGAAAGTGGGGAAAAATGGTCACCAGTTAATAGTGGTGGATGTTAAGTATTTCAGGTACTTTTGACCGTAAGGCAAGACCGTGGTTTTTGTTAAAGCTGCGTTGATTGAATCAGGCCAAAGCACTTCATGTGACTTTAATTAGATATTGACAAGATAAGTGTAAGTGTTGAGATTAATATACTGAATAGAAGATATTTATAGTGTATATAAATTTTTGTAAGCGATAAATAGCTGGGGTGGATTTCACTTGCATGTAGCAAGGTTTCACTTTGCTTGTGTCAGCAAAAGAGGTTCCAGTTTTGATAGATGTTCAAGTTGAGTATGGTGTCAGGCTATGTGGAAATCATGTTTTCTCTTGCCTCTCTTCTTGTCATCTAGAGCCACATTTTCAGCTATTTTGTTCCACTGTCCTTCTTTGGAAATCCCTATTTGTATCTTAGAATCATAGAATCATTAAGATTGGAAAAGACCTCTAAGATCAAGTCCAACCATCAACTCAACACCACCATGCCCACTAAACCATGTCCCTAAGTGCCTTATCTACACGTCTTTTAAATACTTCCAGGGATGGTGACTCAACCTCTTCCCTGGGCAGCCTGTTCCAAGACCTGACCATTCTTTCAGTAAAGAAATTTTTCCTAATGTCCAATCTAAACCTCCCTTGGCGCAACTTGAGGCCATTTCCTCTCGTCCTATTGCAAGTTACTTGGCAGAAGACACCAACACCTCACTACAACCTCCTTTCAGGTAGTTGCAGAGCGCCATGAGGTCTCCCGTCAGCCTCCTCTTCTCCAGGCTAAATAACCCCAATCTTATTTGCATCTTTTCCTTAGTTTGAAGGATTCTTTAAATTGTAGAGTAATGCTCTACAATTCTTTAAATTGTTAGAGTATGCTGCTGATGAAGCGTAGTTACTAGTGCTAAAGCATCCATTTGCTTATGGGTTTTTCCTGACATGGGTTACTGCCTAAAGAAACTTCTGGAATGTTGATTTGTGGAGCTGTATAGGTGCTCGTAAACTCGAGGGAGCACTTGAAATCTGTGCACAGGAAATCCTGCTCAAAAGAAAGAATACCAGCTTTGAGCTTCTGTGGAAGCTTTCTGATTGGGAAGATAGTCTTCAAAACACCATTCCCTTCTTGTCTCTGTGTGGGCAAGTGGGAGCTTGCAGAGATTGAAATCTCCATTCTCATGGTTCTGGTGATAACTTTGAAAGCTGATGTGTTTTACCTCTGATTGGAGCTGTGTTGATGGGTTAGGTGTCATGACATTGAAGATGGATATGAAAGTTCATTTTGTGATTATTAGCATTATGGACAGCTATATATTTTATGTGTGGGAAGTACCTATGTATCTTTCTTCGAAAGCTGAGAATATGAGTAAGTATCACCTTCTGTTTGGTCACCTGTTGGCCTTTTTGTGTAGTAGTGAAAGCAGGTTATATGTGAAGAGGTTTCATGCAAGCTGAAACATGTTGGTAAAAACAGTTTCTGAGGACTCAGTCTCTTCATCGAGCATCCTAGAGGAGCAACAAATTCCAGCAACTGTTTCTGCAGGTCTTGTAGCTGCTGTTAATATTGGGGTCGATACGGCTCATCTACATTTGAAATAATTGTTAAATTTTGAAGATAGGTCACCAAGTTGGGTATTCAGTGGAGATATTACATTAATGTTGGCAGACAATGTATTGTAATGATTTTATTAGCTCTTTAAGGTTTTCTCACCATGTATCTTCTTTCAAGGTTGAGGCACATAACTAACGACTTTCAAATGGGTGCTGCTTATAAAAGGTGGCAGTTAAGAGGCTGGAAACTAAACATGGCTTTTGAGATTGTGCTGAAGTGGCACCCAGCTAGATGATTTTAGCGTTGAGTTTGGAAGGTGGTGTGGTACAGTGGTGGCAGAAGACTGTCTTTCTCTGGATTAGGAGCAGCTGCAGCTATTGGAAGTCTCCCAGGATCTGGAAGCTACTACCTGTCAGAAATAACTTCTGCAAAGTGAATATGTGCATGGGGGAGATGGACCTTGTGGATAATCCTCATCTGTCCATGTTTTACATATAGGCAGTGTTTCGTTGCCGTGAAGGGACCTGTCAGTGTGGTGAATAATTAAGGATTTATATGAATTATAGACTGGTTCGTAGGCTGGTTCATCAGGTCAATAATTTTCTTGGTTGTATCTGTTTACCGTGCAATGTTTTTTAGACCATAGTGAGCAGCAGTTTGTTGAATCAGAGTGTCCTGGTTTCGGCTGGGATAGAGTTAATTTTCTTTCTAGTAGCTGGTATAGTGCTGTGTTTTGGATTTAGTATGAGAATAATGTTGATAACGCACTAATGTTTTAGTTGTTGCTAAGTAGTGTTTACACTAGTCAAGGACTTTTCAGCTTCCCATGCTCTGCCAAGTGCACAAGAAGCAGGACAGCTAACCCAAACTGGCCAACGGGGTATTCCATACTATATGACGTCATGCTCAGTATATAAGCTGGGGGGAATTGGCCAGGGAGCAGGGACCACCGCTCGGGAACTGGCTGGGCATCGGTCAGCGGGTGGTGAGCAATTGTGTTGTGCATCACTTATTTTGTATATTCTATCTTCATTACTGTTATTATTATTTTCCCTTCCTTTTCTGTTCTATTAAACTGTCTTTATCTCAATCCACGAATTTTACTTTTTTTTCCCGATCTCTCCCTCATCCCACTGTGGGTGGGGGGGGAGTGAGCAAGCAGCTGTCTGGTGTTTAGCTGCTACGGGGCTGGGGCTAAACCACGACACACAGTCTTCACGGGGCAGCCTGTCTGCTGCGTGTCTGCCTCTGGTAGACAGTAAAACGCTTATTTCTAGTCTGCTGTCAGCAGCAGATGTTAGTATTGTTGACATACAATTGGATTTGTTTAAGATTTGGTTGAGATTCTTGTTTATTTAAAGGTCTCCCTCTTTAAGTGTCAGTGTAACCCTGCTGATTCTGTGTTTTGTTGCAGAACTACCCATGAGTTCTTGTTTGGTGCCCTTGCTGAACTTGTAGATAATGCCAGGTATGTACCTGAGACTGCCTAATTCCCAAGGTAAATTTGGTTAAGATTTAATTAGCCTGTCTGTTTGTTGATCTTAAGCAATTTTCACTTCTAGTAGACTTTACAGAAAATACAAAATAGAAGACTTTGCTGTAGTTTAGTATGAATATTTCCCTTGGTCCTCTTATACCGCCACATCTACTCCCTAAAAAAAAAAGAGTATTATTCCTGAAAAGGTAAGTTTGAATGAATCATAGAATAACTCAGATTGGAAGGGAAATTATTAGAAGGCACAAGATAGATTTAAGGAAAAATTAAGTCTGCCTTTTTGTTTAAAGAAATTGGTAAAATAATAATTACTAGAGCTGGAACTCTTAAGATACTGTCCTTGTTTCGGCTGGGATAGAGTTAACTTTCATTCTGGTGGCTTGGGGGTGGGGGGGATGTGTTTTGGGTTTGGTATGAGAGGAGCGTTGATGGCCCATTGATGTTTTGGTTGTTGCTGGGTGGCGCTTGCACTGGGGACTTTTCGGCCTCCCCCCATGCTCTGCCAGGTGCATGGGAAGCTCGGGGCGGGGAGCATAGCCGGGGTGGTTGACCCAGCTGGCCAATGGTGTATTCTATACCATGTGACATCATGCTAAGTATAAAAACTAGGGGGAGGGAGGGGCCTCTTGCGGTTTGGGACATGCGGGGTGTCAGTCAGCGGGTGGTGAGCAGTTGCACTGTGCATCACCTGCTTTGTATATTCTGTTATTGTTGTTGTTATCATTGTTATTATTACTGTTCTACTTTGTTTTATTTCAATTATTAAACTGTTTTTATCTCAACCCAGGAGTTTTCCTACTTGTGCCCTCCCGACTCTCTCTCCCATCCTACTGGAAGGGGGAGGTGAGCGAGCGGCTGCGTGGTGTTTGGTTGCTGGCTGGGATTAAACCATGACAGATACTTAGATAATCCTTGACCCTTAGTATCAAGCATGGTGATAGCATGAAAATTAAATCAGAAGCGGGATGCTGAAAAATAGAGCAAGAACAGTTAGAGCAATTGTGACACTTGAGAGGAGACTTGGTATTTGGAAATGGCAAGTTTTAGGCCACATTTCTCATGTTTGCATTCGGGAATCCAGGCTATAGCTACATCCCGAGTGTTGTGTACTTACCTCTTGAGCTTCACAAAATATTCTGATGTGGCATTATGGAAATATTTTGAGATCATTTTCTATCAAGCATGAATTGTCACACTATGCAGTTCGTGATGTAAGGAGCTGAAACTGGAAGATTTCTGTGTAGGAAAAATTCTGTGCAGGGAATCAGCCATGTTGCTGTTTTTGCTTTTGCTACAACATAGTTAAATGTAGCGTCTTTGAGATTAATGTGTGGTTTTCTCTTCAACCTCTTGGTTCCTCCTCTGGCAAAAGAGAGGTTGGCCTTCTGGGAAGGAGGTAGCTGTACTTGGCTGGAGATACAAAGACAAGACGAAGTGACTTTGGCATTTGGGAAGCGGGGTTTTATTACAGCACTACAGCTGCACTCTTCTGATCAGCAAACCAAGGGTATGTGATGGTTTACATGAAAAAAAATTAAAGATTGGTTTTGAGAAGAGGGCAGTAGTGCTGTATATGCTGCTTTTTCAAATACAGAGGAGGATGCACAGTGTATGAAGGGCTTTACTTAAATGATCTTGTAATGACAGTTTCCTATGACAACATGGAATGTGTTTGGATGGAGTTTTATGTGGAGTTACTAAACTTTTCGTAGGCAGCTTGACAGAAAAAATGTAGGTATTGTTTGTTTTGTACAGGAGGGAGCTCAGAAGTGTGTGCTTATTTGATTCCCTCCCCCCTTAATATGACTATTGTTAAAAAGCCAGTGATGTTCACTGTAACTAGATTTAGTTGTGTGGCAGCAACGTCTTGTGCTGGAGTTTGGGTTCAAGTAGGGAGAAAGTAGAACAATGTGTCTTTTAACTTGTCTGTTAGTGCTGACTGTGGGGTCTTCATGGACTTTGGTCTGTGCAGCCAGTTTATTTTGGAAATTATTGCATGTGCCTGGATTTTAGCTTCATTTCTTTTTGAAATTTGAATACTGATTGTGTTTTTATTGCTTTGTAGAGATGCAGATGCCATGAGAATAGACATTTATACTGGTAAGTCACTCCTGCTGCTTCCTTGCATGTCAGCATTTAAGTCAGTAGTTAACTTGGATTTAGGCTGCAAATGTGTGTTGTACCTGGTAGAATAAGAGTGAGGGTGTTTATGCCCGATACTGTATTCAGTTTTGGGCCCCTCACTACAAGAAAGACATTGAGATGCTGGAGCTTGTCCAAAGAAGAGCAGTGAACCTGGTGAAGGGTCTGGAGAACAAGTCTTATGAGGAGCGGCTGAGGGAACTGGGGTTGTTTAGTCTGGAGACAAGGATGCTCAGGGGAGATCTTATCGCTCTCTACAACTACTTGAAAGGAGGTTGTAGCGAGGTGGGTGTCGGTCTCTTTTCCCATCTAACAAGTGATAGGACGAGAGGAAATGGCCTCAAGTTGCACCAGGGGAGGTTTAGATTGGATGTTAGCAAAAATTTCTTCACGGAAAGGGTTGGAACAGGCTGCCCAGGGAAGTGTTTGAGTCAGCATCTACACATTTAAAAGATGTGTAGACATGGTGCTTAGGGACATGGTTTAGTGGTGGACTTGGCAATGTTAGGTTTATGGTTGGACTCGATGATCTTAAGGGTCTTTTCCAACCTAAATAATTTTATGATTCTGTGATTCTACTGTTTGTCCTGTGCCCCAGTGCCTGTTGTCTTTGAAAAAGTAGTACCTTTACAATAACTCGGGCAAGTGCTTAGATCAGCCTTCAGCTGAGGTCAGCTAAAGTGAGTAGCTGTTTATACTGGATGCTTAAGAAACCTACTTTTACAATATACTCTTGTAGCATATATTTGTGTACAGTTTAAAGTGCAGAAGTTCTTAGTCATTCTGCAACAAAATTCTGGTGCTCTTTCTTACAGCTTAGCCATATTGGGGTTGTGAAAGTCCTGTTTGTTGTGTTACTTCTGTTGTGAACACTGATTCCATTTTATGGAAGTTTTAACTTTTGCTTGCGGGAGTAGTGAATAACTTCTCTTGTAGAGCGACGGGAAGACCTGCGAGGTGGATTCATGCTGTGTTTTTTGGATGATGGAACGGGAATGGATTCAAGTAAGTGACAGGAAGTTACACTTGCATTCTCAGGCTGAGGATTCATGTTATGGCTTAAGCTGAATTAACAGCTTGGTTCTGTTGAAAGGGGCGTGTTCCATGCCTGGATACGTGTTGCTGCCTCTGCACTGGCCTTTTCGCACTGTATCATATATCAAACTATTCACCTCTTCAGTTGCAGAAAACTAATCTGGCCAAAAGAAAATTGTTTTGCTGCATTATAGAGTTGAGTGAGCCTGGCCTGTGGTTTTCCAGCACACCAAAGTTGGTCTTGGGGCTGGAGGGAGAATCGGGTAGTCAGAAAAGGGAACAAGCACAAGCTTTGATGGGCATAAGCCTTTTCCCCATTAGAGGCTGCCAAGCAGTTAGTGTATCTCAACTCTAATAAGAAGGTGTGCCATGGCAGAAATTGAAAGCTTAGCTTGGAAGGCATTTTGCCATTGTTTCATCATTGGCATTGTGATTGAGATCAATACTTGACAATATAAAATCTTAGGAATATGAGAAGAATGTAGCAAATGTACTTCTGCCTCGTTGTAAGAATTGATGTAAATCCATTTTGTATCTAGCAAGAGAAAAGCCTTCTTGCTTTGCTTTAGCATCAGTGAACAGCACTGTCAACCCACAGCACCTTCTTTGTGTCTTGAAGATGGGTAAATCCTTCTGTGAGGAGCTCTCTACTGGGCAGAAAAGTTGGGCTAAATTGGAAGGTTTTGGAGAAGGCAGGGGAGATGGGTAAATAAGCACTGACTAACATTTTTCTTCTGATCCCTCAGTACTTTAAGATCCTCTTGTGATATGAAGCATTTAATTCTGTTTATTAATGCTTATAAAAATACATTAACATCTTTGATACGCAGATTTGTGACCTGCATGAAGTAATTTAGTTTGAACTCTAGATACCTTCTGTGTATTCTCTGGAATACAATTAAGGATGCTAAACAGGTCATCTGAGAGTACTTTTCTGTCACCAATGGAATTGAGCAATTAAGCCCCACCTATAAAACAAGTTCAGAGACTTGATTGTGGCCTTCTCACAAGCCTTTGGATCAGGGAGAAGAAATACAACCTTTTCTGCACGTCTTGAAAACTACATGTTTGTCTCTGGATTGAGAGTAGAAGGTGGCAAATGTCTGTTCTAATGCCGCAGAGTCTAATAGCAGCTTTTATGCTGCTGTTGCTCCTGTATTGCTGATTTTGTGACAAAGTGAGATTTAAGTATTGGCTAAATATTAAGTTGCTTCTTTCTCCTAAATCTTGAAGGATTTTATCCTGACTTTGGTAATCTGAGATACTCTGTAAAGGAGATTGGCAGATACTGTGGGTTGTAGTGGTATTTCACAGCACTATACATCATATACAGCAAATACCATATAATTTATGTCCTTTGACTGTCTTGATGCTTGCATCGAAGTGTGGTTCATTCTGTGTCTGAAAAAAAAATTTTTTTTTAAATTTTAAATAGGCTGTGAAGTTATCTTTTCCCTTTTCCAGGACATTGCTTTTCAGAATGTAAAATTGGTATGCAACTTTATTTAGCGCTTTCAAAAAAAGCCCTTCTTAATTTTCAGTAGTCTGAGACATATTGTTTTGATGCAGAGTCTAGCCCTAGCGATCACATCTTCATGGCTTCAATGCTGGATGGTCATAGTAAGCTTGATATGCATTTGAAAGTCACTTAACCAAGAGCAGCCAGGTAGAAACTCCATTTGCTGCACTGTTTGCCTGTCAACATGGACAAAAGTGGCTGGGGAGAGTCTGTTATTCTAACTCCCTACATGGGCCACTCTCTGTTTCTGTCCCTGGCTATAGGGGTCTGAGTTTTAATTTCTCATAATGAAGGATCTACCAGTTTTAAAAACATCCTGAAGATCTCGTATCTGAAAGCTGATTTTAGGAGGTGTCAGCAGAAAACCTTTTATGGGACTTTTCTCCCTTCTTATTTTGAAAATAGCATCAACATCCATAGAGACCTTCCTTCAACAGAAATCATAGAGCTGGGAGTGTTTTGTTTTGCTGCATGATAATTTTAATTAAAAATTATTTTTATGGTACATAAAGCTGACATGGTAAAAAGAATAACTCTGTGACTTGCCGTAGTGCTGTTGGAGCCCATGCTGGCACGTGATCTTCCTGAGTACACTGAAAGGACAGCTTAAAAGGTTGGATGAGGCATTGCCTGGGAGGATGAGTAAATGAACCCAGGTATCTCTGGGTGCTTTCACACAGAGGGAAGAGCTGAATGGCTCAAGTGAACCATTCCATTAACACATTCTCTGTGTTACTCTGTCCCGTTGCTCTTCAGTCTCATTGGTCTTGTTCTGTGTTGGACAGTTCTAGATTTGTCTGGCAAGCTGTGAAAACAGAGAAGGGTATAGCGAGGCAATAGGCCAAATTTGAGTGCTCTGTCTGGTAGCTCCTGATTGTCAAGCCAAATGTCAGCTCCTCAAACTAAAATTAGTGGAAGGTGTAAGTGATTAGCATTTCTAAAAACTAGGTGTGTTTTTCAAGTGATTTCTACTACAATTGCATTCAGAACTTGCTGCATTGGCTTTCTTAATGATCACATTGGATTATGTGGTCTGAAGATCAAAATACGTTTGCACTCAAGCTGCAAACATCTTATGCTGTAGAGTCATAAGTTATCAAAAGATCTGAGGATTCAATGATGCCACAGTATAGATCTTTTCTGAAAAAGCATCGTGTCCCACAGGGACATAGGATAATAGTACTGGTCCAAAAGTTTGGCTTTTTCATAAGGGATTAAATAGGAGGCAATTAGAAAACCATACAACAGATCTTATGCATCACATCTTATGTTGGGATTTCCCATGTTGTCAGTGGCATCACTACTGAGGGTACTTAGGCTTGAGAGTTTTACCTATTGCTTGGGCTCTGAAGGTGCTGCATGAATTTAAGGAATCAAAATGTAGGTCACCTTTTCAGAGAGAGGAAACGCTTTGCACAATTACTCTTTACCCTTTTTAGGCTTCTCAAAGTTTTCTTAAAAATACTTGTTGATACAACTTTTTGTAATGCAAAAGGGTTCCAGTAGCCTTCTCTTCTTAGAATATCCCTTATCCCCTTTTCTGACCACGCTTTAAAACTGATACAGTAATAGTTATAATAGTAATAATAATAATATCATCATCATCATCAATATCCTTACCCAGATCTCAAATACAAGATAATTGAATGTTTCCTTTGTTTGGCTAGAAAATGCTATAGTTGGCTTAAGGAAAGGAAGAGGTACTCTCATGCAGTCAAAAGTTGGTTTTGAAATAGTTATGGACCTCCGTTATGAACATACTGAATTGAGGCAGCAAGGTGCTTGCACAGTCGTTCTCCTGTATTTTTGCCTTGTAATTTGTGGCTTTAAATTTTAATGTCATTTCAATGGAAAATGGCATTCTGACACCCAGCTCAGTGATTTCATGTTAGACCAATGGTGTTAGTACTAAACATCTTAATATAAAAACTCACTGCGAGTACTAGTGGACCTGGGTAAGTCTCCTGTATGCTTAAATGCAGCTTGTCCATGGGCTCAACCTCCGCGTAGCTGGCTGGTGGGGTGAGCGGTGTCCCGTGCTCTCTCACAGCTTGTATATGCATTTGAGGGCTGTAATTGTTGTTAGCCTTCCTGTTAAGGCACTTCGTGTTCCTTGTGTGTGGAATTGCATTTCATTTCTCCCAGTAAACTCTATGGTGAAATGATTGCTATCTCTTGGGGGAAGGGAGGGGAATTGTTCTGTCCTATGGGTGATGTTAAAAGGCTTTATCCTTTGAACAATAGAAAGGCTTGAACTAAAAATGACAGCCCCTCTCAGCTGTAAAGCCATCACGTCCTTTCATTTTGTCCTGTGCTAATAAAATACTCTGTTAATTGCTGCGGTCCTTGCTAGTACTGCCTTTTCACCCGCAGCTGTCCCGCTGTCAGTAGCCTAGCAATCTGCTGTGAAAATTAGCTTTTGTCTTACTAGTGTATTAGTTAATCACAGTGTTCAGTTCAATGCCATGAAGAAAACGTAATGTTTATCCCGAGTTCAAGACCTTTTTTATAGTACTGACTTATACTCTAGTGTCAGTGGTTTCGAGTCTGTGGTGTCAGCAGTACATGCAGTACAGCACAGCTGCAGTGTCCCAGGGTATGTTTTGGTTTATGAGCATGTTGATAATTGTGGTGGACACAACAGATCATCTTGTGGACATTTTTTTGTAAAAAGAAATGCTTTCGTGCAGTTCGGATGGAGCACTGGGCTAGTCTGAAACTTAAAACTCTTCTTGTCAGCATAATGGCATCTGTACAAAGCTTTTGATAATGTAAATGCTATCAAGCAACGTGTATCTTACAGGGCTGTACGGTACAGCTTCAGGATGAAACTCTGGCTTCTGGCCTCTTCCATGCTATAGTCTTTCTGTGCTACTTACAGTGGTGAATAAGTTTATCTAAAAGATGTGTGTGTGTGTGTATGTATATTAAAATAAACTTTTTTTGTTCCCTGTCTCTCATTGCAGATGAAGCTGCCAGTGTTATTCAGTTTGGTAAATCAGCCAAGCGATCACCTGAGTCAACTCAAATTGGACAGTATGGGAATGGCTTGAAATCGTAGGTATAACAAAAGCCAGCCTCCTGAGATTATGGAGGTTAGAGTTGAGATAGTAAATGTATTTTTTGCTTGGAGGTGTATATCTTTTTTTCCAAAAAAAACCCCCAGATGAAATCTAAAAAAAGATACTATGGTTTGGTAGACAGGAGCTCTATGAACATCTGCTGTAGTTCTTCAGTGGCAGAGAAGTCTGTCCAAAGCTGATGACAGTGTTTTGCCATTATGTTTGCATGATGCAGAGGATACACATCAGAGCTGGGGAAAAAAATGAAAGAGCAGGAAACAAAACCTTAATATGCCTGTGGCAGACAGATCATAAAATTGGAGCAAAATAGCGCTGCAGCCTCTTACTAGGAAAGTTGTCTGGTGCAAATCAGATGGACTTAAACTTTTTCTTTTTTTCTTGAATCAAACAAATGCATGGAGAAGAGGGGGAATGGTGGAAGGAATGAGAGGAGGAGTGGGATTAAGTGGCAGAAGAACAGAGGCAGAAGGAAATCTTAACTGGTTGGAGGTGATTTGCTAGGAAGGAGAAGAGTGTTTGTTGTGGTGAACTGATGTCTTTGGGAAAGTTAGAGGGCTTTTATGGCTTACTCTGACCAGCTGTTCTGCTTTATGCTGTTCCATGTGGCTTGATTATTTATATGCATCCTACTGAGGAAATCTGTGGGACTCTATAATCTGGGGGGAAAGAAAAAAAGAGGATGTAAGGGATCTTGAGATACTATTGATCCAGCTGCAGTGCAGGACAGATCCCAGATCCTGCCTGTGCACTTCCAGGACAGATCTCTGTCCTGTTCTTAACCTTGAGCAAGAGGCATACTATATTACAGCTGAGAAAAGAAGACTGAAGCGTAAACATGCGAAAGGTGGTATCGCGTTAAGCCGATCTAAAGAGAACTGAATTGACAGAACACTAATCCTTCTTTTGATGCAATGTTAATTTTTCTCTGTTAAGGTTTTTTGGACGAGTTGGGTAATAGGGTAAAAGAGAAGATGGAGAAGGCACTATTGGGAATAGGAGAGTGGGGAGGAAGATGGGACTGTCCCTTTTCATGACAACTAGCTGCTAAGTTGCATTAGCTGAAGTGTCAGTGAGTCTTTTGAGTTAGACATTAGGAAATAAATTGTTTATCTCCCAGAAACTTGTCTGCTGCTATTCATTCTGTGTACAGTGAAATGAAGTGTGCATTCGCTTTCTCACTTAAATTTCTGCTCCTGTATTTGAAGGTTATTGTCACATCTCACCTTAGTTGTCTTTTTTAGATTTTAAAAAAATGATTTTTTTTTTTTTTTAACTTTCTACATAGTGTGAGCCTGGAAAGCCATGTTGTACTTCTGCACCTTTTAATTGTGACTAGTGTTAAATGTTTTGAAACGTTATGAAAATGTCCAGATTGAGATGCCTTTTGAAAGGAATGAGATGTTCAGAGAGAAATGGTAGTTGCTGTGTAAGCCGTTCTTCTGCCTTACCTGGTTTTGGCATCTCATAATTGAACATAATGGGAAGAAAACTCAAGTAATGTGGTCTGCTTTCTAGAACGTGTTGTGCATCATGTGTAACGTGCAGCTTGAAATCTGTCTCCAGGGGTTCCATGCGGATTGGGAAGGATTTTATTCTGTTCACGAAGAAAGACAACACCATGACTTGCCTCCTCTTGTCACGGACGTTCCATGAGGAAGAAGGCATCGACGAGGTTTGCATGTACTTTGTTGTGATGAACTAATACAGTGAATGCTGTCTTATCCCCAGCTCTCACAGGAGAAGAGTCTGTGTCAGTGTTGGTTGCCACTTTGGCTGGATCAGTGTATGGTTTTCTCTTGGCGATACACTTGTAGGAGTTCTGCAAAGTCATCAAAGATTTTTTCCTTTTGGTTTAATTCTGTTTGAGAGGTCTCTCTAAACTACAGATTGTTTGAAGTGTTTCTTTCAATCACTTCAAGTTGCTTATGCTGAGTTCAGGACATGCCCAGACTTCTTGCATTTTCCTTTTCCAAACAAAATTTTGAGTTTGAGATGTATTTAAATTTATTGCTCTGATTTGATTTTCTGTAGAGAATTAAAGGTGTGATTGAAGTTGCTACCCTCAGGTCATAAACTCCAGACATGTCTCTTCTTTCAGATCTTTTTTTTAATAAAAAATCAGTGTGGTTCTACCTATTGAAAACTTGTAAATCTTAATAGATAATTCAGGCATTGTTGTTCTGTATCCAGATTCTTAACGTGGAAGTATTTTTGTGCTCAAGCACAAGTATTTTCCAGGCAAACCCAATAATGAAAAATTTTAAATTTGCACTGGCATAGTATCTAAGAAAGCATTTTCCATTGTGATAGTGGAGGGAGCTCTACAAAGAAGCTGTTGAGGGAGCAATGCTTGCTAGTGGTCAGCTGATGGCTGAAGCAAGTTGGGAACAGTGATGTAGTTCCCACAGCGGCTCTGGAGCCAGAAATTTTGGCTTGACCTCAATTCTAAAGTGAGGATGGGATTCACTGTCCTTGATAGGCAGCTGCAGTCTATAATTCTATCTGTGATCTGTGTTTTTATTCTAAATGACAAAAAACACCAATAACTTTGCTAGAATCCTATAAAAATAATAAAGAGTGAGGTCAGGATAAATATGAGTGAAGGATATTTGAGTTCAAGAGAGAAGTTAAGCACAGAGGTTCACATTTTTAAAGAAGCAAAGTTTTTAGTATTATGAAAGTTGCTACAAGAGGAGAAGAAAAAAGACACTGAGTGTTTGAGTAGCCGGTACCATACAGGTTACTTGGGAATGGTTCAGTCTAAGACTAGATGTTTTAGGAAGGCAACTCAGAGGCTGGCAAAGAGGGGTCCTCAAGCATTTGACAGACGTGCAAACCACTGAAAAGCTAGGAAGGACTCTTGCAGTAACTTAGGGGGCTGTCGGAAGGGGTAAGTTGCTCGGCCGTGATCCGCAGAAGGGTCTGGCTGGAGTGGGTTGAGCTTGAGTCTTGGCACGATGCAATTTGCAGGTCATCGTTCCCCTGCCCACCTGGAATGCACGAAGCCGGGAGCCTGTGACTGACAACATGGAGAAGTTTGCTATTGAGACAGAGCTAATTTACAAGTATTCCCCTTTCAAATCAGAACAGGAAGTGATGGAGCAGTTTAATAAGATCCGTGGTGAGAAAGGTACGTATGGACGATGCTGGTCACGGGCAAGGTATTTAGGGTTTGGCTGGGATTCACCTGATTGACTTGTTACTTGCTCAGGCACCTTGGTGATCATCTTTAACCTCAAACTAATGGATAATGGAGAGCCAGAGCTGGATGTGACTTCTGACCTGCGAGACATTCAGATGGCAGAAACACCCCCAGAGGGAACGTAAGTGTGACAGGTGTTACAGGCCCTTGGGCTCTGATCAAATTATGCGTAGGGTTTGTCTATATGCTGTGTGCACGTGTTTTTTGAAAGCTTCTCTTTCTATGATGAATTGGAGAATTTAGAAGATCGTTAGTTTGTTCTTTAGCAGTTTGCAGTTCATGTGTGTAAACGGCCTGCAGGCGTTATGGTTGTGTGTTTGGTGTGAATGCCTGCATTAGCTTGTCTCAGCTTAGTCAAAGCAGCAAACTCGATGCCCTTCTTTAGGCACCCTTTAAACAAAGGAGCCCTAAGATATAGGTTTAATTTTCTACACTCATCAAAGGTGTTTTCATCAGAATGACAGCTGGTCATGAGTCTGTGCTGCTCTCAAACTGATGTTCAGTTTTGTGATTAAATGAACCCTGGCAAAATGCGAGGCGCTGCGCAGGTCAGCCTCCATGAGTGAATGGTATGGGTGGGTGAAGGTGGGGCATATCACCACGTATTTCTGGGAGCAGGGGCAGCTTCTGGACTTCCCTGCAGAGAAGGAAGAAGGATGTGCTCACAGGGCAGCTGGAGGAGCAAAGGGAGAGCTGAGTTCAGGGAGAGCAGAGTGTTTGCGGAATTGTTCACTTGTAGCCTAAAAAGGAAAAACTGAGCTGAACTGAGCCAAATGCTTGATTAAATCCCAGAGCTCCATGGGCACACCTAGCAAGCTTTACCTTTTTTATGAGATTACATGCTTCTTCCCTGAAATGCTTGAATTTGCCATAGAAGTTCAGTTTCAAACACTGTAAACGTAGCTATTTCTGTATGTATTAGCTTGATGTTACTGAGTACACAGATGCAGCAGACTCCTTGGGGACCTCCCGGGATCTGATATGCTTCTCAGTTTCTCTAATGCCTGCTGGTGAGCTTTCATGATAACCACTGATCACGGGAAGGAGCTTCTTCCTCCGGACCTTGTGATACCATTTCTGTGTGTGATCAGTGCAGTTTCTGTCAGAGCATACTCCTGACTAACCAAAGGGTAAGAGAATGCACCAGCAAGTGGGGCACATACTTAGTGTTAAATAGTCCAGTATGGACCTTTATTATCCAGCTGTATTCAAAACATCTTTTTCAAGCTACAGTAATACGTGCATCAGTGTGTTGTAACAGTATTTAAAATGTACAGCTCAATAGAAAATCTCTGTAGAAGACGGGTAGAAGAAATTTAAAAGCCTCATTTAATGTAGCTGTCTGGTAATTAAAATAGAAAGGCCTTTTCTTTTACCTAACGTTCTTGCTGAAGGTTGTCTTTTTGGCATGTTTTGAAGTAGATGGCTATGAGCTGAGATGGTAATAGTTACAGTTGCATGAGGTGTGAATCCTGCCATAGGTGCTTAAAATACATCAGGGGTAGTGCGGAGCAGCATGGGGAAGTACTTCTGTTAGTCACTTGGCTTCTGGGTAGCTGTTTATTGGGAAATAAGAATCTTACAAGTTTTGTGCATGGAGAAACTTGTTCATTTGGTCTGGATAGAGGAGGAGGCTCTGTGACAGTCGTATGTCATGGCTCTTCTTAATTGGGGGGAAATGAAGGAGAAAAAACTGTGAAGGAAGGAGGAAGCGGAATGCAGACTGAAAGAGACTCCAAGATGAGCACTCTGACTAAAGAGACAGTGATTACTCAGAGGGTGAATCGATGGAGTCATCTTTGGGCTACATAGAGCAGACTGTTGGTAGTCCTACAAGGAAATGCTGAACAACTGCTCAGTCTCTGTAAGCATCCCTCTCTTGCAGAAAGCCTGAGCGCCGTTCCTTCCGTGCCTATGCTGCTGTGCTTTATATTGATCCCAGAATGAGGATCTTCATAAATGGACACAAAGTACAAACCAAACGACTTTCATGCTGCCTGTACAAGCCAAGGTAAGTGTTGGACCCAAAGTCTGCAGACGTGTGGGACCTTTTGGAGTTTCCTTATAGAAAAGGTTTAGCATTTTGCTCTCTAGGTGTATCCTGCATAATTCCATGTTAAAGCCACGTAAACAGATCGTAAGAGAATGGGATGTGGTATTGACATCATGGAAAAAGAGGTAGATAGTGGAAAATCTAATGCCTTAGAAAATCATGTGAGTAATTTGCGCAATTTGGATACCTTTCAGAGTAAACAAAGAAATTAAGATACTGGTTGTTCAAAATGCCATATCCATACAAAACTGTTGGATAACTGTTTTTTTTAAAGTAGAACAAGGAAATACATACGGTGGGTGTTAGAATTATTACTGAAAAGAAACTAGACTGAGCACTTTGAAACAGTTGCTTTGAAAATTAACTTTTATATGTAGCTGATCTAGGTTTGAATAGAGTTTGTGAAATACCTTTCCCTGTCTTCCTTTTAAATTCCCTTAAACAAAAAATCTGAAAGTGAGCTGAGGTGTGCTGCCAGTTGGCTTAACAGGGACTGGAAAAGGAAAACATGTATTGTAAGTCTGCTTGAGGCAATAGTATTCTTCTGTCCCTGGGAGCACACAGGCTGCATTCTAGATACCTTAACATGATTTGCCTTAATAAAACAGTAGTAGTTTTACAGAGTATTTGCTGATTGTTTTAATATAGCATTTCAGATTGCAGTAGTGTTTCAATAGTTTGGGCCCACTATCAACCCATTGGGTACTTACACTAACCGCAATCCGATGTCACGTCACTGATTGCTGCCCTAGAGCCTGGCGAGTTTTCAACTTACAGCATGGTCTGTCTGTCAAGCTTGTACTTCCTCAGCTTCTTAAATGAAAATGTGTGAAATGGTATCAGAAGCTTGACCAAAGTCAAGGTATATTACATCCACTGCTCTCCCCTTGTTGAACAAGCCAGTTGTTTCAGTAGGTGCAGCTTGACTTGCCACTGTAAATCCTGATTTGCTGGGTAGAGAATCTCTGAATTTCTGGCTGCTTTTTACCTGCATGTGAGTGCCATGTGCTGCTTCCTCTTGTGCCGCAGTCCAACAAAAGTACTATGGAGAGAAAGCAGAGGTGGAGAGTTTTTTTTCTCATCAGAGACCAGCTTCTTGCGAGACTCAAAGGCAGGATGCCATGGCTATGGGATGGTACTAGCATTGTCATAATATAACATGGATCAGGTCACCCCAGATGTTCATCTGCCTCAGTATCTTCTTTTTCAAGTTGTCAGTAGTCAATGCCTGGGGAGGGATATGAGAATTTTGTTCTATACCATAAGACTGTTTTCTGTTGAAAAGAGGCTGTGTTTTTAGACAATTTAGACAGCAGTTCTTCTGGGTCCCTATCACCAGTTCTGTTTCTGCTTTTCATTGGTTTTGGGGCATAGTTGTGTTGTCCGAAAAGCGGATTCGTGCCCGGCGTGCAAGTAACCAATTCCACACGCTCAGGAGAGAGATTGTTTTATTCAGGCCTGGGTGCTCGGTGGACTTGCCACAAATCAAGCACACCTGGTCTAATCACCTTTCTGTTTATATCCATACTTCTCATACATATTTTAAATTTCTCTTTTACATATTCATTAAATTTCCGGGAACTAATTATAATATTACATCATTCTTTACGCATGCGCGTTAAAGCCTTTAGGGTCTTCTCCGAGGGTCTCGGGTGGTCTCTGGTGGTCGGCAGGGTAGTGAACTTTCTGTGAACTTGTCCTTCCTCCTCCTTATAAGGTTGCGACTTGTCCCCGAGCCATACTTGGATTGCTTTTACTTATGGTTCCCATGATTAAAGTTAACTACTACTAACATTTAACAATATTCCCACATCACACAACCTACATTCATCACTATTCTACAATATATCATTAATTATTTAACAATTCCTATTATTTAAAATCACTGAAACAAGTAAACCCGTAACAAACCAAACTATCTGTAACTATGTTGTTCTTTTTCGTTAAAACTTAAATTAAAACAGGTACACTCCATTCTTTTAAATTAAACATCAATCTCATCTCTGTTTTACAAACTATAATTCCCATTCTGATTTGAATCAACTGTTCTTTTTTTTAACCCAGTCTTGGACAGGGGCTATACAAAGGACTGTAACAGCAACACTTTTGAGTTTTATAGTTGAATATTTATCCGAACAGTTGCAGCTGTAGAAGGAGAAATTCAAATTGTAACTGCTCAGGAATGGTAATTCGTGACCAAGGAATGATCTGGCATGGAGGGCAAGAAGGGCCTACCACCGAACTGGTTACACTGGCTGATAAGATAAGAAATGCTGCGGTATTGTCTCATAACAATGGTGTAATGCCAAGTGCTCAAGGGCCAATTATGGTAAATGGAGCTGGTGCTGGGGGATGAACCCAATGCTGAGCTAAGGTGCCCCACGCTGATGCTTAACAGGATCAGCGCTGATGCAGATGTATCTAACAAACCTGCTTGTGCCGCATCTTTGCAGACTCCTTGTAGATCTGCTTATGGTGATAGGCCAATAAAAATTCCCCAACTGTAAAGACGTTTACATTTAAAATCCTCACTCCTGCAGCAGAATAGTAGAGACTGTGCAGACAAGGCCCTCCTGTAGAGCACAGTGTATATCATCCTGGACTTGGGGAAATTATCGTAGCCTTACCAGGTCTTTCTGGAGAGTGTCCAGACTGCTTCCTTCTGGTCTCAGACTCCTGACACCAGATTTGGGCTCCAGAAGCTGCGTGGCCATCGGGACGAGCCATCAAAGCCTTCATCATGGGTTCTGAGAGCCAGCACAGCCCTTGGGGTAGGTGCCCACACTGTGCCTTGGACAGGCTGTGGAAACTCAATCTTTTACCTTCAGACACTTGGGCAGAGCTTAGTCTGCCCTGGGTGGCTCTTTCCCAAGGGAAAACCAGTAAATCAGTCCATTCTGAGGGTGGAGTTACTCTGCTTTTACAGCTATAGGTGATTTTTTTGTTTTTTTCTCCCTGAACCTGCTGAAAAGGGTTGCTTATGCCCTGGATTTTCCCTTAGAGTTGGAGCCAGAGCTCACACATCCCCATTTAGCTACTGAGCTTTGAGTGCTCTGCAGGTTAATACTACTCCCTGCACTTGTACAGGGACTCCGGTTTGTATGGGGGTGCACGGGGAAAGCATACCACCACTAAAGTGTTCCTTTAGAGGACAGCTGATGTGACAGCGATGCTCAGCTCTTTAGCATAGCTGGTTTTTGCAGAGCCTCAGTAGCCTAAGCCAGGTAACTGTTGAACTCTCCTGGTCCAACAAAGTGTAACAGGCAGTGAAGGTTCTCCTGTCTTACATCCCAAGTAGATGGTGTGCTGCATGTGGTACGAACTTAAGGGCTCTTCGCTAGTCTTTGGAGAAGTGTCATGATGCCTGAGCCTTAACAGGTGTTAATTTTATTTGTATCCTCCTGATAAAGGCCAGTGAACTACTGTAAGGGAATGCCATTCATCTGTCAGTATGGAGACACCTCTGTCCATCCATATTGTTGGTTTTATAAGAAAGTCTATTATAAACCAGCCTGGCATGCAAAGGGCAGGTCGTTACCTGACGGTGAGCTAACAAATGACTCCTGATTGGGTCTTTTTACATACTTCTTGGCGAACTTTGGGCCAGGTGTCTTTCTGTTTGAAGTGATGCTTTCATGCCTTACATTGGACATTAGCAGGTACAGCCATCAGCTTGTCTCGCTGCCCTCTGGTCTGCTTTCAAGATCTGCTTAGGAGGATTGCCTTCAGGAGGTGGTGGCTCCCCTCCTCAGTAATGCTATAAGTCAGATTGCCTTCATCTCTGAAGGAAAAGCTTGTACAGTGGCTTGTCTGCAGTTTAATGTCTTGGTGTTAGAGAACAAAGAATAGAAATCCATTGTGGGCTTTAGGGTATTTAAGTGCCTTTACTGAAAATTGAGGTTTTGCAGCCGTTGCACTGTTCTTCGTCAGGAATAACAGCTTGTCTCCTGAACAGGGCACTTGTTTTCCTTTTTTCATCTGCCCTTTCTGGAAGCCGTGTTTCTGTGGGTAGAGGCTTCTCCATACCTTTCTGGAGCCTGTAACGTCCCTGTGGCAGGGGCAGGCTGGTTTTGTGCAGATCCTTCACCAGTGTTTGCAGGTGTGATACCACAGTACCAGCCTCCCTGGGAATGGCTTCTGTCTCCTGAAGGATTGCTTCCATCTGTTCCCTCCTGCAGCAACTGTTTGAGCTTGTTTAGCAGTGCAGGCCATACAGATAGAAGCAGCCAGGCCATGTGCAAGGGTGTCCCTTCACGAGGGCACTCCAAGGCAGTCGTAATGAAAGTCTTGAAGCTGGGAGAGTGTGTTTTACTATCACGTCCTGCAGACGACTTGTCTGTCGACCTGTTTCCGTACATGTTTGCTAGATACACTGTTCCAGACCACTTGAATAGGGGCTTTCCTTAATGTGACTGAAGTCATTTGGTGTTGGAAAAGAAAGTGAAACAGGAGGGCGGGCACGATGGTGCCTCACAGTGCCTATCTGGGACATCCTGCAATTGCTCGCACTGCACCCTGTTGCAAAGAGGGTGCTGTCCATAAGGTCCCCTTCAGGTACTGCCCTGCCTCACAAGCTGGGTGTGTTGAGATAATTCAGCTTCTTTTTTTTTTTTTTGCCTCAGGAAAGTCAGGTGGCATGTGGATAAGGTAATTTAATTATGCCAACATGTTGAAAGCAATCTGGTTTTCAGAATGTGTTCTTTCTCTCGGCCCCAGGTAGCTTTAATCACCCTTAAGTAGATTTGAGGAGATGGCGCCACCAAAAACCTGACTCTGCATCTCCTAACATGGTTATTGGGTGATTTCTGGAAGAGTTCCCACCTGACTGCTTTTTCTCCAGTGAGGATATCCTTATGAATAGCAGAAAATTAGTTTAGTAAATGCAGAAATGTATTTAAGTGGACTGTGCTTGTGGTATGAATTTTCTGGACTTGGGAACAAGGGATTTATGTTGGTGAGACTGTTTCTGACATCAATGTGGACATCCATATGTGCTTGCCCACGGAAACATACCTAAATGAAATTTTTCATCTGTGCAAGGTGATTTCTCATGGATCTTGATAGATGATCTGGCGTTTGAGGGGGATCTTGTCTCTCTTTGGGATCTAAACATGGTTCCTTCTACATTAATGAGTTGGTCAATCAAGCCTTATGTCTTTATGTGTTTCCGCCTCTCTCTGTAGAAATAGCATTCCTACTGGCTTTTGCTTTGGCTAAATGCTGGAGAGGTTTATTTTTTCATAAAAAGTTGTTTGGGATGGGATTTTCCTCTCAATACATCCAAAACCTTGTGTCTTAGGACAGTTTGAGTTCCTGCAGGCTCTGATCATCCTTGGTGTCATCTCCTCTTCCCCAGTTACATGCCTCTGTATGGTGACGCATACTCACGAACTTCTTCCTCTTATACATGCCTGCCTCTTTCACTCTGCAGTAGTCAGTCAGATTGTGATCTGCATTTGGCATGTTATGATATAGGGAAGGTGAAACAAGCCACTGCAACTCAAGCACAATTTACAAGGTTGTGAGTCAGATGTGTAGCATACAAAAATGTCCTGAAACTTTAGAGCTGAAACTTGAAGCTCCGTTCAGAGAGTTGCTCTGCCACTTAGAGGCTTTGAGCTAGCCCTGTGTGGAGATGGGCAGTGTCAGACTGCACCTGTGGACAGCTGTTTGCAGGAGAAAGGAAGGGTTATTTATCTGTAATGGGAGGTTTTTGAGAAGCTTTCTGTATATATTCACTCCTCTTTTCTGGATTTCCTCCAAGAATATGGATGTATTTCACCCCCACCAGCTGATGCAGAAGGGGATGTTGTGGTTGCAGCTACTACTAAAGCATCTCTGACTTAAAAGGTTTTTGCCTAACTGCATTCAAAAATGCCCAGTTCCTGACATGTAAACTTCCTTCTCCATTTATTGAATCTATTGAGTTTGAGATATGGAGACCTTATTCGCTCATACAGTGATGAAATCTTGGTTTGATCTTACTGCTGAATTTGCTGATTAATAAGTTTTGATCATCACAGGATGTATAAATATACTTCAAACCGTTTCAAGACCCGTGCAGAGCAAGAGGTGAAGAAAGCAGAGCACATGGCGAGGATAGGTGAGTCTTCGGGGTATGCACGTGTCCTGATTTTGCTGTAGCAAAGGAAAGGACTGAAAGAGGGTGTCTTGCTGGATATGACCTGAAATTGCTTGTTTCTGTGATCGTTATGGTTGCTCAGGAAATTAATTATTACAGCGACTACAGATGACGCAAACTTGCTTCCATGTAATGGAAGGAACATACATTGTTCCCTAAGACCACTTCCTCTGGGGAATACATGTACAGAATAACCCTTGGAGTCACAGCTGTCTGCCCTTGCTCCATCTGAAGCCTGGCTAAGCTGCTGCCCTGTTACCCCGCAGTTCTGCTCTCACCTTTTGCATATCATTAGCTTTTGGTTCTGCTCTCCTGGTCCTTCCCTGTTGAGGCAATCATTCAAAAAATATATTTTTGTTCTGTCACTTGATGTAAAATGATTGGTCTGGGTGTACAAGGGAGTCCTGGTTTGTTTCTTGGGGTTTTTTTCCCCTTCTTTTAGTCTGTTTAGTCTTCCCTTCCTATTAAGTCCTGTAGTTCTCAGGAGAAACCCAATTTGACATTGTTGGGTATTCAGCATACAGAAATTACATAAGAATATAAATATAGCATATAACTTCATTAAATTTGCACAACTTTAACATGCAAAGCAATCTCCCTAGCCCCTGATGGGGAAATGCTGTAGTGAAGGCGGAATCTTGGAAGTTGTAAGACATGCTGACCTATACCTCTGGTAGGTTTCATAAACCAACTTCATACATCAATCAGAGGCATGTGTCCTTTCTCCCTGTGTAAGAGCTGCTCTAGGCACATGTGCATGTGTGTGCAGGTCAGACGTGAAAGTGGCATGATTTTGTCTCTGCACAAAGCAAAGCAGCAAAATGAAACTGTGTAAATTGCTATGTTCCCTATTCCTCCTTTAGGAAGTACAACCTAACAAGACAGACTTGAAACTATGAAGTTTAAGGAGATTTTATCCTGTGCCTCAATCCTCATAGGTGAATTTATTCTTCGGATTGAGTCCTTGTTGTGGTTTAACCCCAGCCGGCAACTAAACACCACACAGCCTCTCACTCACTCCCCTCACAGTGGGATGGGGGAGAGAATCGGAAG